ATTCTGGCCAGAGAGCGTGGGGAGCTCCTTGGCTGCTTTACAGAAAAAGAAGTGAATTAATCTCCAAGCTATATTTCCAGTTTAATTTTGGTAACAAAGACTAGAAGCTGAACTTTGAGTGCAGCATTGTGACAGCTGTTGATGGGAATAAGCTTTGTTAGCGCGAAGGGGCGAGACGTTCTCGTGCAGGTTGGTGACCGGCTCTCTGGGATGGAAAATTACCGCTGTGACAGATGCCTGCATGAGGAATTCCTTCCTTTTTTTCCCCCTTGCACTGCTGTGGTGCTGAGTGGGAATTGGGTGCTCTGCCTTGTGGCTGCCCAGCCTCACAAAGGGGGGCTGTGGAGCGCGGGGGGACAGGGCCTTGCGCCAATCCTGCCTTCAGAGTTAACGACTGGATTGGCGTGGAGGGAAAGGTTAAGTGGATAATGCTTTGGAGGGAGTGGGCACAAGGGTGTTCTTCAGTCAGGGATGTGCTGTGCCTTGCTGACAGGGATGGAAAAGCTTTGAGGAAGCCAGTCATTTAAAAAGTTGGCGGTACCTCAGTGCTTGGAGATCCTCACAATTAAAAGCATCTGTGATTCATCCTGTTCACGGAGCTGTTCCCGCCCTGAGCAGCCAGCTCGTACTTGAAAATTCAATTAGAGTACCAATTTGGTTTGAGTTCTGAGAGGAAGAGTCAGTTTTCAGCCTATCTCATCTGAAAATCCAAAGCAGTTGAACTACAGAACACAGGTAAAATGACTGTCTGTACATTATCTTTATTTTTTTCCAGGCATCACAGTTACAGGTTGGCAAGAACAGATTGAATCATCCAGGCAGCAGAGTAGCAGATTTATGAAAGCCAGTGTTGGATGTAACCCTCTGGTATTCACTGTAGGACATGGCATGTTCTTAATCCTTCTTGTAAATGTCTACATTGGAATTCAGCAGACAGACATTTAAATCTTTTGTTTCTATCTGAAAGTTTTATTCAGACTCTAAGACATGTCCAGAAATTGTCTAATATAGTCTGTTTTTTTTCTCATTTGTAAAAATTGAAATGACTTCTGAATAATGCAATTTTAAGAAGCTGAACTGAAAAAAAATAAATAATGAAAAACCTTGGGTTTATTTTGTGTATCTTGGGGCTTCAGCCTTAATCTCATCTCATTACAGCGTGGAGAAATAATTGCTCTGTTGATTTACTGTAGTAATTCTTAATATTCTAATTTTTTTTTTTCTTTACTTTTTCCTCCCCTTTGACAGACCTTAATTTATTTCGGAGGCTTCCCATGGCACGTGAACTAGAAGATAATTCAGACTAGAAGGTCTCCTTACTTCGAAGTGACAGCCTTTAACCAAAATGGTCGGAAAACTCAAACAGAACTTGCTGTTGGCGTGCCTGGTGATCAGCTCGGTGACAGTGTTCTACCTGGGCCAGCACGCCATGGAATGTCACCACCGGATCGAGGAGCGCAGCCAGCCCGGGAGGGCGGAGAGCGCGAGGAGCACGGCGAGAACCGCTCCCAGCGGGAACGCGACCAAAGCCTTTGCCTACAACAAGGACATGCCTTTGATATTTATTGGGGGAGTCCCTCGCAGCGGCACCACCCTGATGAGGGCCATGCTGGACGCCCACCCGGACGTCCGCTGCGGGGAGGAGACGAGGGTGATCCCCCGGATTCTGGCCGTGAAGCAGATGTGGGCGAGGTCGAGCAAGGAGAAGATCCGTCTGGATGAAGCCGGAGTCACGGATGAGGTTCTGGACTCGGCCATGCAGGCGTTTCTGTTGGAAATCATCGTCAAACACGGCGAGCCTGCGCCCTACTTGTGTAACAAAGATCCTTTTGCTTTAAAATCCTTAACTTATCTTGCTAGGATTTTCCCCAATGCCAAATTTCTTCTAATGGTACGGGATGGCCGTGCATCAGTGCATTCCATGATATCTAGAAAAGTCACAATAGCTGGATTTGACCTGAACAGCTACAGGGACTGCTTGACCAAGTGGAACCGTGCTATAGAAACCATGTACAACCAGTGCATGGAGGTTGGGTTTGAAAGGTGTATGCTGGTGCACTATGAGCAACTTGTGTTGCATCCTGAAAGGTGGATGAGAACTCTCCTGAAGTTCCTCCGCATCCCATGGAACCAAGCAGTGCTGCACCATGAAGAGATGATTGGAAAAGCAGGGGGTGTTTCTCTCTCCAAGTGAGTATGAACGTTCCTCCTTTACCCCGGGTTGTTTTAAGGGTTGAAATAGTCCCAGTCATGACTTGGTTTCAGTTTTTACATAGCTGATGATGCCTCAGGAAGCTGATTTATGATGCATCTGGAAAATAAGAGTCACTGTTAACTAACAATTTATTGCTGATTTGTTCCACTGAACAACTGTCCCATGAACATGCATATGGAGCACATGAACAAACTTCTAATGCTCAAGTCTAACTTGACTTTGGATGTCTAATATCAGCTTTGCTTTTCTCTCTGCCCCAAAATAAACCTGAACTGCTTTATCTAGGCTGGTGTTATCCGTCCCAGCAAGATCACCCATTTGATTTCAGGAGCAATGTTGTTGTCAATGCAAAAATGGCCTTTGAGTTATATTTGCCAAGAACAGACTCTTCCAGGAAACTTGAGAAGCTGTTCCAACAGAATAGAAAGCAGAGTTGGCCTGCTCTTCTGTTGGCAAGTGCTCCTAAAAGGACAAGCATTTTGATGAAAATTAACCTTGTTGTAAGCAAATCTCTCTCTATTCTGTTCAACCATCTGTGCACCTGATTGAGCTGCTTTCAGAAACCAGTCCAGCCCTGCTTGGAAAACCTAGATGGTTATTGTGAAAAGCAAATCTATTAATTCTCTAGTTAAACTATTCTGGTTTCTTTGCCACTGTTTGCAGTTGAACAACTGAAATACAGAAGCTGGCTCATCTTTACACTGAGAGGGAAAAGTGTAAATGTTTGACTCTCTTCCCTGTTTTTGCTGTGGCAGATGCATCTACCAGGTTGTCTTGTTTAAGTTTCTAAAATATTGATTAAAAAGCCCTATTCCAGCAGCAAATTCAATTACTTGGCTTCTGTTTTTTGAATATTCCTCACTGGCCAAGTGCTTCTGAGTCAGAGGCACCTTGCACAGCAAGCAGGGTGTGCTGGGCAGAGACATGTCTGACTGTTCCAGAGTGGGTGTATTCTTTGTAAACTGCAGTTTTATGAAATACAAATTGTAAGATTTTTTTTATTTTCTTTATTTCATACCTAGGAATGTGACTGTGGATTTTCTGATATATCATAGGGGCATATGATTTAAATCATAGAATTGTTAGTCAGTGGTTACAACGAGAACTTAAAATTTAAGTAACAGTTATATACTTACAGTCTGGAGGTTTTACATCACCAGCACTGTGTTCCCAGAGCTATCAAGAAGGGATCTCACCCCTTTTTTTTTGGCAGTGTTGTTTGGTAGCAGATTGGAGGCTTCTGGAAGTGTTAGCCCGAAGCACTGCACTGTTGTACCTCCCTGGAAGATGATCTGCTTGGGAATTCTCTGTAGTTACCTGTCTTTTGTTGCTTCTTCACAGTGGCAGCTGAGGGGGGAATAATGTTACATTTACTGATGTAAATGGGTGGTTGCCAAGTTCTGTTAAGTGTCCTGTAGAAAATAACTATTCATAATGCCATCTCTAGTAAAATATTACTCCCTTGCAGCTTCCAGATTAGTGTTTTTAAAAATTAATGGACCTTTATACTATAAAACTCAATAACCTTGCTGAATTCATACAGTCTCAAGTAATATTTCTTGCTAAATGTGGTAGAATGTGATATGAGGAGTTGGGAATACTTGTTCATGGTTCTAAAAATTACAAAAATGGGCTGTTCAAAGTAAAATGTGGCTTGATGTTTATTTTTTTTTTTAGTAAAACTTTCCAGCTTAAGACAAATGAGTATGGATGTGTTCTTGTGATCCTCAATTCAGTCTGTTCACTGAATTCTTTATGCTTTTATTATCTCTCATGAGATGATATATGACAGTAATTTCTTATTTCAGAAGGCTCTGGCAATAGTGGAAAAAAGAATGAGTTATGAGTGTTATGTCTGTGGTGAGTTTTATCTAATCAAACAGCCTGGCAGAAGGTGGTGAGATTTGTTTTTCAGTTGCTGGAGACCTTTATGATTTGATAATGATTTCAGTGACTCAGTCTTTTGAGGGCTGCAGAAAAACCAGTGCATGTGAAAGCCTTGAACTTAGATGCCTGTGTTGTGTAATTATATGATACCAGTTGAAATTGTGCAGGGGGAGCCTGAGATTCCCCACTCTGATGTTCTTGTGCCAGTTAAAACCTGCTGGGTTTGGCATCCCCAGCCCCAAGGGGGGTCCTTGCCCAGAGCAGGGGGTAAGTGCCCAGGGGAATTACTCTTTGAAGAGATGCTTGGTAAGTAGTTTACTGAGAACTTGAGAGCCTGCCACAGCTTATCACATTTTGACAGCTGGACAAAATACACCTTGTGTTGGTTTTCCTTCTCTCCAGTTGCCTTTGGCTTGTTCTCAGCTGCAGCCAAGTCCTTGAAGGCCTCAGGTGTGTGTGGCTCTTACTTTCTGGGTCAGATTCTGACCAACATTGCTCTCTTCTGTCTCCTTTCAGCTGAAACAACAGAATCTGCAGCAGTGGAGCTCCATATCCCAATTAGTGGCTTTCTCCCACCTCACTTTCCAAAGGGACAGTGCTGGAGATCAGAGATAATTAAGGAAATTCAAAGTGCTGCTGTCTCCTGCAACTCTGTCTTCTCACAGAGCTTTATTTTACCATGTGCCTCATACCAAGTGCTCCAGGCTGTTTAATAATAGCACATTAAAATCAGAACACTCAAATCATATTGCAGTTTTTACTGACAGGAGGAGGAGGTCACAAATAGCAAATCCCCTCTGTTGAAATGGGATGTTCATTTAAAAGATGTCACCGTGTAGGCCTGGCCTCTGTCACGTAGTGGGGAACAATATGAGAATCTTGATAAAATTAGTTCCCTGGTTGTCAGCAAGGTATTAGGTAGGGTAGAAAACCTCTGGAATCAGAGGATGAACTACTATTATAATCTGCAAAGGGTGTCATACTGTGTAAAGGCTTAAGAAGACAAGCAGAGACACCTGCCTTAATCATCTTTCACTCACCTTTAAGACTCTTCAGACCTTTCAGACAGGCTCAGCATCCACTTCAGAGGCATGGTGTGGGTCCAGCATCAGATGCCTGGAGGTGTTTTAATTGTTGGAGGTTTTCTTGAAATGAAATCTGTCAGGAGTCTGTTGTCTTGAAATATTTAAAAACATTTTGAGAAAGAGATCCCAGTATCACTAAAATACCTTTATGATGATGCCGTTACCTGCTAACAGAAAGGAAATGTTTGAGAATATATTTTTCACTTGTTAGAAATCAAAATTAACGCTTTTCAAGTGAAATCTGTGTCAGATGGAATGAGGCTGTAGGCTGCAAGATGTTTTCTATTCAGTTGTGTATAGAATTAAACTGTGCCTGCAGGTTGTTTCTTTTCCAGAGATGAGCCAGCCCCTGGATTGCAGAATTCTTCCAGCAGTGAGCTGAGTCCACTTTTGTCTTACTGCAAACTCAGAAACTCTAATGCATTATTCTGGTAATAGCACTAGGAGATAGCAAACAGCCTGGATTTAAGATTCTGACTTCATTTGTTCCCCTGGCTCCTTGATTTGAGGAAACTTTTGGCTGCCTCACTCTCCTCTTCTGCATGTGTTTAGTAGTCCCTGCTTTTTCTGTTGCTGATGCAGCCCTTCCCTCACTGTTGTTCTGTTGTACTTAGGATTTTTGCCCTTATTTTGATTTTTGTCCAGCTGCAAGGAGAAACACTGCAAGGGTTCTAGAGATGAGCACCACAGCATTTGCAGTAGTGTGAAACCTTCTGTGGTTTGAAGTAATTGCCAACGTGGCTGTTGAAGGAATGTATTATGGCTGGACTACAAGCTATAACTAGTATTGTTAATAGAGCTCTGGCATTTGCCTCCTAACTGAAAGCAGCTGTGCTGACCACTGATGCAGAGAAATGTCAACCCTTTTATAGCAATTTTTATTAGGCTTATAATGGAAATAGCTGTCTAGGCAAAATTACTTCACAATATACACTGTATTTAATGCATACCTTTCATTTGATTCTGGTACAGATGCAGAATTACTTGGGGTTAGTCCTGTGTTCTGTCCTACCAGCTGCTTCCAAAGCTGAAACTGTTCCTGGGGTTTTCAGTGGAGCCTGGAATCACTGCCCAGCATTTGCCATAGACACACATAACAAAAATTGCCAAGACTTGATGTGTTTGCTTGTTTTGCTGTTTGGATTTTTGGGTGTTTTTCTCCCATAGCCCTCAGAAGTTCTTTATCTGAAGAACCTTTCCCTCAAACTGTGTTTTGCTTTTCTTCCCACCTTAACTGAAAGGACAGAAGAGGATTTAAACAGCCCAAATGGAGTGCTGTGTTTCTGAGTCAGTGCCTGGGAGCAGCTCCGTGTAGTCCCTGCTTCTCTCTTCCCTGCTGTTAATCACCAGGAAATGTTTCATGCTGAGGGTGTTGTTACCAAAGTGGGGGCAAAACATACACCTTGAAAATGTGCTTTTGCTTCAGGATGAGGTATCCATATGTGTACAAATTTAGGTCCAAACTGATGTATAGTACCTGCTGTTCTGGGGTTCCATCAAGCTGTTAGACAAGCCCATTGCTTGGTTCTCACAGCATCACCCTTATTTTAAATGGTCAAATCAATCTGCAGTTTTGGTGAAGGGATTTTGTGCTTGGCTGGCTCAGTCTGAGGACCATAAATCTTACATTTTTCCAACACCTAGTGATAATTTTTTTCCTGAGGGTCCCAGCCTCCTTTTCCCCTGGACTCGTGACTGTTGTGGTGCTTTTGCCTGTGCCTTGGTACTTTTGACTTCTGAAACTCAACTCTTAACAGCTATTTGCTTGCTAATTTGATGCTCATCTTTTAATGAGAAGGATCAAAAAGGCAATGCCCAGGCTTTTTAGTTTTCCATACAGACTTGGGAGCCTTCAGGGAGGTTGAAATTCAGTTGCAACTCCCTGGTCCCAAAATCCCCTTCTGGGTTCCGGCCTTTGGTCTGAGTTACTGAAAAGGGTTGAAGTGACTAAGGCTGAAAAATCTGGGGTTGTTTTACAGGTGTTCTTTTGTTTGTCAGGCCCTTACTCATCAGCTCCCATTAAACACCTTTTGCAGCAATCTGAGGGCCAAGACATTTTCCCCGTGGGTGACCATTTCCCTGTCTGGTTTGTTCTTTGTTGACTGTGGTTAAAGTACTTAAGTCACTGACCTTCCAGCAGTGTATGAGTAATTTCCTTCCTCTAACCTGGAAGAATTTTAGTTATGATGATGAGTAAAAAAGAGGAACAAGGTAGAGCCTGGTGTTAAGATCAAACTGAGTTAATGACTGGCAGACATATCCAGGTTGTTGTTTAAGGCTCTCATTCTTGGTGCCCCTGTGAATGGGATGCCTCTTGCTGTTGATTTATTGGTGGTCTGTACAACAATTCTTCAGCCTCTTCTTGGACTCATGAGGTTAATTTGAGAACTGTAATCAAACTTCTTCCTGTTGTGAGTTGAGTGATGTCAGACTTGAGAGCAATTTCATTTCAGGCTTCTGACCTCAGAAACTATTGTATGGAAATTTCTGTCCATTTTTCTCAGATGTTTTCTCACCTTTTGCCTGCTGAATATCTGAAGAATTAGCTGCTTGAGAATGAATTTGAATCTCAGTGTTCTCATTCTTTATCCTGTGTAGATGAGGTGCTGATGTTACACTTTGTACTGTTACTTTCAGGTATAAAAATTCCATTTTCTGAGTGGTAGAGCTTTTTGAGCTCAAAATTCTTTATGATGCAGAGGAGGGCAGTAGCCCCAAGTGGATGTGATGGGGTGTGCTCAGGTTTGAGGCAGGTGTAGCCAGCCAGCAGCAACTACTGATATTAATTGCAGTGCAGGTACAAATATTCCTTTAGGCAACTTTATATATACAGATGACGTATATATAAAAAGTGCATGTGCACTCTTTTTTAAGGCCAGGGAAAAAAAAGCTTTAAATTATTCAGAGTAAAAAGTCAGAGTTTTCAATTACTCTGAGTCTTGCTGGCCTGTTCCAGAAATAAACACAGTAAAGTTGTGTATCTTATAATCTGAAAGAAGCAAATAATGTGTGAGAACAAAGCAGTGCCAGATTTCTTCCCTTGAAAAAAAGCACAACAAAACTAGAGCAAGAATGAAAATTGCATTAGGACCTCTGATTAAATGACAGCTATTTTCTGTGACACTGCTGTGATTGTGCACTTGCCTTTAAGAACTATGTAATGACCAAACAATCAGTTAAAGGAATGGTTATGAAAAATATGACTGTAGTCCACAGCTTTCTGCCAAGTCTCAGGTCTCTCTTTTATTAAACAAAGGGGGGAAAAAAAAGAGATAAGTCACAGAATGGGCATGGGAAAAAATGGCACATGTATTTTAATTTAGAATGCAGCTTTTAAGAGCATCTGAGACAATTAACCAGCAACTGTGGGAACATGCCAGTGGGAAAACAGCTTTATATGTAGGTGTGTGCTTACTTCTCACTTAACAGCTCTTTGGGTTTCACTGCTGCCTTCATGTAAAGAACTTGCTTCAGTGTGTTCTGTGTGAAAGCCTAAACCAGGGAGCACGTGCAAATGTTGTGGTTAAAACTTCACTTCCCATCAGCTCTGTAGAAACATGAAATTTTGGGAGAGAAGAGGGAGGGGAAAAAAAAAAACAAACAACACAGACAAAACAAGCTGAAGGTCTTCGTGATGGTGAACTGGCAGGTGTTGGTTGGAATGCAGAAAATAACCTTCCCTTCTCCCTCCACAGGGTTGAAAGATCCACTGACCAAGTCATCAAGCCAGTCAACGTGGAAGCACTGTCCAAGTGGGTTGGGAAGATCCCTGCTGATGTTCTGCAAGACATGCCTGTGATTGCCCCCATGCTGGCCAAGCTGGGCTATGATCCATATGCCAATCCACCAAACTATGGAAAACCAGATCAAAAAGTTGTGGAAAACACAAGGAGGGTAAGGCTGCTGTGTGTTTAACTATTGACTGACTGGCTGGGAGCTGTAGAGCAGAAGTCTTGTGTTTTGTTTGGGGTTTTTTAAGTCTGTTTCTAGTACCTTTTGATACTCCTTGCCCTGGAGGGGAAAAGAATTCTTTGGGACCTTGAGCACTGCAAGTCTGGCTCCTGCTGTTTGTCCAGTTTGATTCATCTCCCTTTATCCCAACCACAGGCTTGAGCTGTGCTCTTTGGTGTGTGGAGCTGGACCTCTTGAGAACTGTCCAGATAGCTGGGGAACTAACTGGTTGTAGAAAAAAGCTTTCTTGTCTGGATGTCAGACTTGATTGAGCTCAGCTTTTTATACATGAGGGTTGGCAGGAGCTCTGTCACAAAATTACACCCCAAATACTTGTTAGAGTTTGAAAAATGACCCATGGAAAACGGCCCAAGATGATCATAGAATCAGAATCAGCTGGGTTGGAAGGGACCTCAGAGATCATCAAGTCCAACCCTTGATCCAACCCTGCCATGGTTCCCAGCCCATGGCACTGATGCCACATCCAGTCTCTTTTTAAAAATCTCCGGGG